TAATATTAATTGTGTTATGCTACCGCTAGAGGATTTTATTAACTGTTTTACATTTTACGGCGAACGGTAGCCTACATAGAAAGGCCGACTTCGCCGGTGGAATTGTTATTGCCTCGTACAGCGTGTGAAGGGACAGAAAATTGATAAAGACTCATCTATGTATGTATAGTCAAAAAGAAATATATTTTCTATAAATGTCATAATTTGTCCTGGCAAATTTTTATTTTTTAACAAAATGTAATATTAATTGTGTTATGCTACCGCTAGAGGATTTTATTAACTGTTTTACATTTTACGGCAAACAGTAGCCTACATAGAAAGACCGACTTCGCCGGTGGAATTGTTATTGCCTCGTACAGCGTGTGAAGGGACAGAAAATTGATAAAGACTCATCTATGTATGTATAGTCAAAAAGAAATATATTTTCTATAAATGTCATAATTTGTCCTGGCAAATTTTTATTTTTTAACAAAATGTAATATTAATTGTATTATTTTTTAAGCCTATATGTATGTTTGTCCAAGAAATTTTTGAATGAAATACAAACCGCACAACTTCAAAATCGCATAAAAATAATCCGCATGAAAAGAGACCTTACAGTATATATATGGGTCTGCTATATCTTTATTATATGAATCAATTAGGAAAATCTAATAATTTAAACAGAAAAAAAAATTTTTAATTGATTTAGAATGAATTAAAAATTCTTTAACCATGTTATGTGTGAAAATTTACTCTAATATAAAAATTGGTAATTTTAATTTACTACTTACTCCATCTTTTGGATACCATTTTGTTGGATCTTTACCATTAAAATGTTTCATAGCAATAACTCCTGTTACAATAGCTGTGTAAATAGTTATGTTCAGAAAAATAATTTTTCTTTTGTCGCTACATTTTTCAAAATAATCATGTAATAAAAACAAATATAATAAATACAAAAAAAGGATACTTATGATAAAACATACTGATGACATTAAAGCCAATCCAAGTCTGACACGAGCTACTGCTAAAGAATTCAGAAGAGGATATGCATAATAAGACATTATGGTTTGAAGCCACATATATACTATGCCAGATCCAAAAGCTATAAAGGTACCAATAAAATGTACTATTGACACAGAGGTTTCCTACAAAGAAACAAATAATAAATAATTCAATTAAAATAGTTTTTAAAATCTCAAAAATTTCAGAAAGTTTACCTGGAAATTTGCAACCAAGGTCACTCCAAATGCACCTATCCATCCCATCCATAAACTTGCAAGATTGAACTTCAAAACTTTACTAGACTCTGCTGATAGATGATCACGATAGTATTGTTCTACTTGCTTAAATTTCACATAGGTTGTTGCCATTACTATTTAAATAATATTTTTCATATAATTACAATATTTATAAGGATTAACTAACTACTATGAATGAATGAATCAATGCAGCTTTAACAGTGGGTGAAGTTTAAATAATGCTAATGTTTTTGACCCTATGGGTCATTGTCTTCAGTCAGACAGCTGAAAGTGGAATAACAGTGTCAAAAGAAAAGAAGATGGAATAGACTCCACTAGAGTAAACAATGGGGGAGGGAGACTATAACAGCAGCATTTGATTCAAAAAAATAAGAAGATATTGACAAGTATGGGAAAAGGAGTTCTTGTCCCTCGGGTTTATAACTGAGTGGTTATAAATTTTACACTTCTCTACAATGCTGACATCGGAGAGGTGAAAGAGAATTCTTAAGATTTCATCCATTGTTGAAGGTGCATTGATTAATTCAGCTACAATATTTAACCCCTAAATTTTCAGTTTTAAATAATACCATCAGTGGGCCGCGGTAAAATATCAAACGTTGACTGGTCCGTGGCAATAAAATGGTTGGGGACCACTGCATTAAAGTATCTCCAAATAAAGTAGTTTTGTTTGATGATGGTTAGTTTAAAAATTAAACTTGTAAATTCAATTCATTTAACATTTATTTTAATTTTAACCACTATTGCATATAATATTAGTATAATATTAATCATTATTTTCTTTAATATGTATAAAAATCAAAATACAGAACTTACAAAAAAGTGCTACAATAGTTAGCAATTCTCCAAAAATACAACTCTCTGGGATGTAAGTTCCTGTATCACTGATATATGGAAACTCAATTTCAACATGATGAAGACAGATAGATATGACGTATCTAAAAATGTATTAATTCAAGATAAATGTTATTTGAAAATATTTAGTATTTTTAGAATATCTGACAAAATTTCTTAATACTTACGTGATCAGAAATGTTACAGGAATCAAAACAAACAATAATAAAGGTAGTAAATATACTTTTCTTAGCACCATGCTTCAACAAATTTTTTAACCTGGAATTAATAATTTTATTTAGAAAATAAATTATTGATGTGTTTTTTAATGATATTACTTATAAATAAATGCTTTTATAGGTAGACTAGAACTAAGATCATGGGGACTGAAGGTGGTTTGGATAACTGAACACCAAACCATATAATGCTAAAAAATTTACATTAATGCATCATGTCAGGATAATAAAATAATCATAAAGAGAGCCAAACTTTATCTTTATCAAAAGAAATAATCACATATGTTCCTTTGAACAAAATAGATCTTTGCTACAAAATTAACAACACAACTGTCTAGTGACATTATGGAAAAGGTTATTTATGCAAATAAATGAACCTTTTCCATACCACTTCATTGCCTGAAAAGGATAGTTATATACTGTTCTTTTCAGGCAATGAAGTGCTGTTAAGTTGGAGAAATGGCATAAAAGTCATACTTAATCTAATGCAACACACACATCATTATCATAGGCAAAGACTACTAGGGTAGTCATGAAAGTTCCTTCTTGATGCTGTATTTACACTCCTTACTCCACTTCCCTAGGCCTCTAGCTGTCAATCCTGCATACTCCTATGAGTGGCTTATGTTATGACTTCTGGCTAAACAATGTGATAGTTATGTGTGTATATAATTTGCCGACGAAAGAGATATAAGGAATACCAAGACATGACTCGTGAACAGAAACAATTAATATAAGTTTATTTACAAGGCATAAAACAAGTATCACAGGATCTTTTGTTGGAAACCCAACTAAGGCTGAACACCAGTGATTTTCCCATGTCGGAAATACACACGAGTACAGACAAAAAAAAATTTTGCACGTAACAAAAATAACCCGAAATTAATATTAACTTAAAAACTACCTTACAATCTAAATGAAAATAAGAAATGGAAATTAAAAGAGGGTAGATAGAGAGATTAGTTGTGAAAAGTACCTGGGATTTTTGGGGAATACCGTTCTTCACTTGCAAAATGGGGTCCACTGGGGACAAGTCTTCTTGCTTTTCTCTTGTCTTTTGTCACGCAAGGCAGTTCAGTTGATTCTCCAAATTTTGTGATAATCCAAAATCTCTTGCTTTGAAAAAAAAGCACTCTTTATCGAGTCTCTTATTGAGCCACATAGTACTCGCCAAAGCTTAACTGCTCTGCACGTCCTTTCTGATCTCCTCAGACCACAAGGACCTCTGTGTGTTCTATCCAAGATCCAGCTCAAGAATGACCTCCTTTTACTTCCCCTTTTGGCCCATCATTGTTCTTTCTATTGTTTGATATTTCTTGGAACAGACCCCCCATGCGGACAGAAGAAGGATTAGAAAGGGATAGGAAGTTCTAGAAGGGAAAGCAAAGAACAAAGAAGACTAAAACTATACTTAAATTAATATATACAAAATGGCATACTGCCACAACAACTCCACTTTCTTCTTTGTTTAAATGATTGATGATGTCTAGTTTTGATTCTATTGTCAGCCTGTTATACTTCCTTTTAGATGACAATGTGAGCTCTTTCAAAAACAACTCTCACAATGTCCACAAGAAATGTGCAAAAGCAGTGCACAACACCTCAGTGAAGATATTTGTGAATACATTTTTATGATTTCCAAGAGTGTTCTCATTGTCCTGCAAAAGGTCTTTTCCAAAAGTCTCTCTGGCCAGCGTGATATGTTTTTTATACTACACTCTTAGAACCTATAACTGGTGTGGTATAAAAAATGCAAGATAAAGATCACCACAGACATTTTCAAACTGCTGTGAGATCTTCAGGTGTGAAACAGAATAACTGATGGGACAGAGCAAACCATTACAGAAATTCAAGAAATATTAGGTGTTACATGAGACGCATGCATGTTCGTCTGGTTGACATATTGTGACCTTAACGTTCGGAGTCCATCAACACCTGCAGGCCGGCGACAGAACCAACTCATCCGTAAAATAGAGAAAAATCTGTAAATTTGAAAACTATAAACATAAATTTAAATTTCTCAAAAAATAAATGAAAAAATCTCAAAAGTCGCTACTTTTGGCTGATTTGTCTGAGGTCTCCGCTACCTCGCTACGTCCCTCTAAAAGTCGCCATAGTTGGGAACACTGGTGACCAGACATCTAGGGTCTAAGTAAGGCGAAATGTAATCGCCAAACCGCGCTGTAGAAAGGCGGAAAAATTTTAAATTTAAAAATATAATTTCTTGCGAACGGCAGTTTGGGCCCCCCTTCCAAGTGGGCCCTGTGCGGGTGCACCTGCTGCACCTGCCTAGTTACGGCTCTGTGTATTTGCATCATATCATGAGCCAGATTTACTGAAACTAAATGAATTACAGTTTAGAAAGAGACTAAAGCTTAGAATTTGCATGCTTTTAAATTTATTTATTTATTTGGTGGAAAGAAAGGGCTTTTTTATATAACTTACTTTTTAGAATCAAAACAAACCTAAATCTGGTACCAGTGCCAGCTCGAGGCAAGTTTTAGGATGGAGCGAGATCCTATTATGGCACCTGGAGGTGGCCCACGCACTTGACCCAAGCACCTCTCAGCAGATAAGGCCATTCACATACTGGCCACATGCTTACAATTAAAATATCAAAAAGTGAAAAAAAAAATTTTTTTTGTTAATTTTCTTTACCACTGAGGCGCCCCCTAGGACTTAGCGCCTGGAGCGGCTGCTCTGTTCGCCCTATGGTAGGGCCGGCTCTGTCTGGTACTGGCCCATGAAAATTTCTAAAAATAAGTCTTGCTATCTTGTTTAACAGAGAATGGAGATGGACCATTAATGTTCACTACAAAAAATTTGTATTTTGCAAACAAAGAGTTTACTTAATATTACAAAATCATCAGTAAATGTTAATTCAGCAGTAATTTGTATAATAAAATACAGATATAATAAAATATTACCAATCTGTATAATAAAATATTATCAATATTACCAATTCTCCATATTTCTGTTGATTTAAAAATGTAGAGCAAATCATCACATATGAATATGATAAAATAATGTCTTACTTTATATTGTTAAATGCCTTCTATTTGATAATTATAGGACCATTATCAAGAGAAAGAAGGAAAGAATATGGTTCTATTCAGAATTAAACTCAGAGTTGTCTGATGGACAAGATATGCTTCCATCCAGTGACACAGATGTGACTAGATGATTTAGGATGTAAGTGTTTGACATCTACATTTGACTAAAACTTTGTTTTGAATATGTATTTCACAGTTATTATTTTTATACAATTTTCAGTGGGGAAACAGTTTCCCCATTTAAGGTTGTATAAAAATATGTGATATACTTGGAAAATTACAGAATCTAAATATAATGCTGATCATGAAAATGCAAATAAATTATAAATGCTATGTTTTGGAAGAAATATTAATATTTTTTGAAAATATGCACAACTTGTAGAACATATTTAGAATGAATTATGGACAAATTTATCTATAAGTAGAATATTTTTATAGAATTTTGACATCATCAAAATATTAATTCAAAACAATTATATAGAATCATGATGTGGATTGTGAGAGAGATCATTTACACTCGTTGGAACCAGGATCAAGCAGAAGTTGAAGGGTAGACCTCATCCTTTTGAATATACACAGGAAGTCCAGTAGCTGCCATATGATGCAAATTCACAGAAGTAACTGCCTTTATGCAGTTGAATTCTGAATGTTGCCAGCATGACAAAAATCAAGAAATCACACACTGGATTTGATCCTAGGCTTTTGGAGCAGCAATCTGAAGTAACCATTGCAGCCATTTTTTTTTTAAACTCGCCGCCTTGTGGACACTAAGAAGGCCTCTTTTTGTAAGCCCATTATGGATTCGGCTAGGCCCACAATGGGGGACCAGGTGGTGAGGGACAGGGCCCAACATATCTGAACGGACCACCCGCCGAAAAATTCCTGGAGACTATTCGATCCTGGGTCCCTCATAGCGGTAGGCTGCCACCTTGAATTCTCGGTGATCTGGCCGTCCACTGCAGCTATTCATTAAATATATGAGGGGACGTACAGGAACGTATTAAGCATTACATTAGATATTAGAATAATTTCTGAAATTTTGCAGGGAGGTTTGTTCATTAGGGTGATTGATATTATTAAATTTTGGTGATTAAAGGTCGAGGGATGGGAAAATAAAGGGGGATCGTGTGTATCTCCAGTAGGGTTCGACTTAATGACCATTTTACTTGTTATTAGCATTTACAATTTTTTTTTATTTATAAAACTCATTCCTACCCTCAAAATTATCTTTTTATATTTTTAACTATTATAAAATGGAGAAAAGTTTTTAAATAAAATATGATAACAGATGGCACCACGAAATGTTGCCGGAAAGTTAAGCAACTCGTTGCTAGATTTTTTTATTATTTTCTAATATAAATCCATTTCGAATCGCACTATCTTAGTGATTCCTCTTCAGTATTACATCTAAAAAATAATACAATACTTTTAAAAATAAAAATAAATACAATTCAGGTTATACAGTAAAAACATGATTGCTCACAATTACTCGTGTAACGGNAGTTGTTATTTATATTGTATCATTATTATTTATTTTATTTTACATTATTACTATTATTTTACATATTATTACCAAACGATCACCTAAAATTTTAATTTACTTAAGAGATGGCGCCTAACGCCTACCTCTAATGTCAAATTACTTTATTCCAATCATTTAATTATAGCCCGATATTTAGGCGATTGTTTGGTAATTTATAATAATGATACAAGTAATAAAACAAATTATAAAGTGTTTTATGAGCAAACAGGTAGAAAACAGTTGTAAAAAATGTATAAAAAGAAATTACCAGATGATTGGCCACCCCCTATGTAAACAAATGGTTGCAAACATGCAGCCATTCAGGAAAGAATAACGTAGAAGCATTGACTAACTGTAACTATATATAAAGAGTGATTTCTGAGAAAAACATTAACATCCTCTTCGAATTAGCTCAGTTTTTATTTACTAATTATGAGTAATTACTGTAGTGGTTCTTTCTACTTCTTTATTACTTTTTTCATCCTTTTTCTCTTTTTTTTCTGTTTTCTTCTTGTCTTCTTGTCACCTCCTCATGGCCTAAAACTCTCAGAAAAATCTTACTACAATTACTAAAATATAAACTCAGTTCTTATTATTACTAATACAACTCCAGTAATATTTGTTGTTCTATAATTATGCTAATTTTTATCATTAATAAAGGTTTATTTGAATTTATATTACAATCTTACTATATGATCTTTTGTTATTTCTTCTATGCATTTGGAGCTAGAACTATTTAAAATGACTAAGACAAAACCTTTCTCACTTTGTTTCTAGCTGTTTAAAGACTGGGTACAAACGTTTTTGGCCTTTTTAAAAGGCCTTACTCAGGTACACTGTGGTCTGTTGGAACGTTGGTTGGTAGATATCCAAACGGTGTCACTGTTTACATAAGTTTTGTCTTACCAGTGACGTCATTGTTGTTGATAAGGTTTAGACGATACTGAGGGCATTAAATTTTCTTTTGATATAAAATTTAAGGTGTGTGGATGACTATTGATGGGATAATTGCTAAAGTTGGAGAAAATAAAATTGGAAAATACACACACTAAGTAAAGAAGATGCACTAGAGCTTGCTGAGTGTAGATTGGCCTGCTTAGATAGGGGGTTACCGGGGAGTGATGTCATAGTTGATACCGAAGTATAGACAATGTTGACGTCGTCAATTAACCTTTGATACAATAAGAAAAGGTGTGCGAATGACTATAGATGGGTTATAAGTGCTACGCTCAGAAAGCAGAATTGGAAAATAAACGTGATAAGTAAAAACAAAAAAAAGCGCTAAGGGTTGCAAAAGGTTCGGTGAGGGTGGATTAGTCTATTTAGTTTAAGGGGTTATCGAAGAGTGATTTCCATGCAAAGGAGAGCGAGTCTGCATCTCTGCTGTTGATACAACTCTCTTTGAGGGATTGCGCAAATATTTCAATGGTTTCAACTGTTCTAAGTTTGCTATTATCAAGCGTAGGAATAATAATCTTCACCTCTTCCCATTTGGTCATTATATTTGGTTCGCTTGCAAATTGGGCTAGGGTGGAAGTGAACTTTTTGTTGTATGTGTCATATTTGTGTTCAGCTATCCTTCTTTTAAGTGATCTATTGGTTGAGCCAATGTATGTTAGTTTTTTGCTTGGATTGGATGTGGTGTCCTCTCGTGGGATTGTGTAAACTCCTGGTCTCCTGGCTTTGCTGCATTTGTCCTTGGGATTAGCCAGAAGTTTATAAATCGTAGGGTTGTGTTTGTATGCATGTATTACAATTCTAGACTTTGAAGCTGTATATCCTTTCATTAAATTGGAACCATGCTTCTGTGCCCTTAGGGATTTCCTCTTCCAAGCCTCTCCACCCAAGCCTAAATTCCACAAGCAGGTTTTACAACTAGCCCATCTAATGTGCTACACCTCATTCTTCACCTTCAACCAGCAAATCTATTTTCAAAAAAGGAGTTTCAATAGGTAGCCCCGTCTCTGGGGACCTCTGTGAATTAGTTGTTAGAAAATTAGATAGCCAAGTCTTAGAATCCTTCAACGCAACACTATCGTTCTTTTCATGCACTATGTCGATGATATTCTCATCATTTGGCGATCCAAGCCAGATTTAAATGCTGTGCTGCAGATCATGAACAACAATCCATTTGGATTTAAGTTAAAGTTAGACCAACAGAATGATAGGATGGCCCATTTCCTTGACCTCAATATATTCCTGAATCATGGTTGCATAACCACAAACGTATTCCATAACCCTAATCCACAATCTTTCTTCATCCCTGTAACCTCGAATGACCCATTTACTTATAAAATATCTGCTTTCAGGGCTCTAACCCATAGAGCTTTTACCCATTTCTTTAGCATTAAGGACACGCTACAAGAAATCCAACGCATCAAGTGCCTCGCCACAGCCCATGGTTACAACAGTAAACTAATTAATAGGCTTGCACAAAAATACATAGATGCTTAACAACCAAAGTGGTCAACTCCAAACCTCTAAAGCAACAAGTAAGCACATTATAGTCAATTTCGACCTAGAATGAGCAAAGCTTTTAAACTCATAACCAAAAATGTCAAAGCTACTCTCACATACAAACGCAACCCTATGATTTATAAACTTCTGGCTAATCCCAAGGACAAATGCAGCAAAGCCAGGAGACCAGGAGTTTACACAATCCCACGAGAGGACACCACATCCAATCCAAGCAAAAAACTAACATACATTGGCTCAACCAATAGATCACTTAAAAGAAGGATAGCTGAACACAAATATGACACATACAACAAAAAGTTCACTTCCACCCTAGCCCAATTTGCAAGCGAACCAAATATAATGACCAAATGGGAAGAGGTGAAGATTATTATTCCTACGCTTGATAATAGCAAACTTAGAACAGTTGAAACCATTGAAATATTTGCGCAATCCCTCAAAGAGAGTTGTATCAACAGCAGAGATGCAGACTCGCTCTCCTTTGCATGGAAATCACTCTTCGATAACCCCTTAAACTAAATAGACTAATCCACCCTCACCGAACCTTTTGCAACCCTTAGCGCTTTTTTTTGTTTTTACTTATCACGTTTATTTTCCAATTCTGCTTTCCGAGCGTAGCACTTATAACCCATCTATAGTCATTCGCACACCTTTTCTTATTGTATCAAAGGTTAATTGACGACGTCAACATTGTCTATACTTCGGTATCAACTATGACATCACTCCCCGGTAACCCCCTATCTAAGCAGGCCAATCTACACTCAGCAAGCTCTAGTGCATCTTCTTTACTTAGTGCGTGTATTTTCCAATTTTATTTTCTCCAACTTTAGCAATTATCCCATCAATAGTCATCCACACACCTTAAATTTTATATCAAAAGAAAATTTAATGCCCTCAGTATCGTCTAAACCTTATCAACAACAATGACGTCACTGGTAAGACAAAACTTATGTAAACAGTGACACTGTTTGAATATCTACCAACCGACGTTCCAACAGACCACAGTGTACCTGAGGAAGAAGGCCGAAAACATTTGTACCCAGTTTTTAAACAGCTAGAAACAAAGTGAGAAAGGTTTTATCTTAGTCATTTTGTTATTTCAAAATAAAAGTGGAAGATCATGTAAATAATTTTCTATCAAATATTGTATTAATAGATAATTTATAAAACAGTCATTCAGTTTTGTGACCTATTTTAAGATTTATTTCAATAAGATCAAAACAGAAGTTAGTAGGATCAATTTGTTACAAATCTGATATCTTTCTTTTTCATAATTTAGAATATCTTTCTTTCAGGACAGCATTTTTTATTCCACTGATTCATAGTTGTCTTTGCAACTCAGTTTAGTATGTTGTCTTTCCATGAGACCAGATGGTAACGGGTAAATCCTTAGTAAAAATTCCACAAATATTATATGCATGTAAATTATATGCATGTCATCTTTAGTCTTGTATAATATGCTGTTAAGAAATATCACGGACAGAAGACAAGCAATTTTATTTTCAACCTAGCTAGAGAGGTGGATGGAGTAGCCATTTCCCATGTCAATTGGACTGGCTACTCCAAGATTCCTACAAGATCACACACCAGTACCCATTGGTAAGATTAGATTTACCTTACATTTGCATAAAATGCAATAGGCAGAAGCCAGCAGCTATCAAGATTGGATCCTGGCTTATCCATTTCACAGTCCACTGCCACACTTCTAGAACTAGTCTACAACATGCCCTTCACCCTCAGATACAGTCTAAAAATTCCATATTGAATTTTTCTTCTTTTTCTTTTTTCTTTACTTGTAATTTAACTTGTGTGAAATGTCCAGTTATGAGAATGGTTTATGCTTTTATTCTTTTATAACTTGGGGTAGCCTGTAATATACAAATCAAATATTGTTTTGAATCTAAATGACTAGATGATATAATTTACTTTGTAATTTCAATAATTGAATTTATCTGTTAAATGCATTTCTAAAATTAATACATTCAATACAACTTTTTTACAGGAACGTTGTCAATATTTGGAGTTGCAGCAGGCATTATAGCAAGTTTCTCAGTTTCTCTATATTCCATTTATACAAAGAAAATGCTACCAGTTGTTGATGGAAGTATTTGGCTACTAACTTTTTATAATAATGTCAATGCCCTTGTATTATTTTCTTTCTTAATATTAATAACTGGAGAAGTCACAACTGTTATGAATTATGAAAAGCTGGATGATGCATTCTTTTGGTTATTAATGATTGTTGGTGGTATTTTTGGATTTGCTATTGGTTATGTTACTGGTCTTCAAATCAAGGTAGGTCCAATATAGGTTTTATTAGAAATGTTTTAAATTAAACTAAACATTTTCTTCTCTTTTCTCAGTTTACATCACCACTCACACATAATATAAGTGGTACAGCAAAAGCTTGCTTTCAGACAGTTCTTGCAGTTATGTGGTTTCATGAACACAAGCCATTTCTTTGGTGGACTAGCAATATGGTTGTGTTGGGTGGATCAGCTGCATACACTCGTGTTCGACAGCAAGAGATGAAGATGGTTCACATGGAAAAAGAAATACATCCAAAAAATTTGGCTGACAGTAAAGTGTGATTTCATATCTCTATTTTCATTAATGATATATTGGTAAATGGTTTATAATTAAGAATTATGTTATTTTAATGAATAATTATAAAACTCTTCATTGCACTTTTGGAGCAGAATATTACAATGTACAGAGTGGAATTGTAATATATTTATTAAATCAGTGTAATTGTTTCATATGTGAGTAATATATTTTTTGTAAGAAAGAAAGAAATTGATTTTACAAATATATTATCCATCTTATCAGAATAGGGAATGTTGTTGTTATAGCAACATTCCCTCTCTATCCAATTCATATGTGTATCCTAAATATAAAGACAACTCAGCATCAAAAAATAAATATAAAATGTAAAAAGTTTTTCTATTTACCAATTCAGAAATTATTTTTCAATTATCTAATATAGCTTTTCTTATGCTTTAAATAATTGTTTGAGTTATACAATATTGCAAAACTTTTAATACTTGCATTTCTGTAGGATGTGATATTTTTACACTTTATACCTTTTTTTTTGATGCCACATAATTTCATTCAGCTTGATGTATTTATGAATCATCCTGTGTAAAAAAATTTATTTTAGACTATATTTGTTAATGATTATAATAATATACAGTATTAGTATTTATTACATTATTATAAATATTATCAGGTATCAGTTTTAGGATTAATCATATATTCAAAATGTATTATGAAAGTACATATTGTGAACTTAGCTAATTGCATCCCTTGTACTGTAAATATAATCAGTATTATAAAAATTCTGTATAAAATTTCATTATATTTAAATAATAAAGATGTTAATAACCTTATCAATTACAAGTTAAAGCAAAAAGTAACATTCATTGACATAATATTTTGAACAATTCAAATAATTGGTACTAAGGCAAATTCTTTTGAATAATTTATTCTTTTATTTCAATAATTAATGAAATTAATCAGATTAAAATTACTTTAACATTTAAAATTCAAATATATTTTAAATGTCTACAGCTTATAAAATATATAATTATAGAAATTACATATAATGGGAACATATTTTAAAAATTCAAAATGTAATACAGTGTGAATTAAAAAAAGATTTGAGAAAAAAATTTAATTAATTAATAACACATTTAAATCCAATTAAAATCTTTGAGATTTAATATTTATATTTATGTACTGTACTGGTATTTAAAACCTTTAATGGGAATGAAAGAAACATTAAAATAGCATCTTTTCATTTCCTTCTTAGTGGTCAAGCCAACATTGGAATGATAATGATGAGGGATATATATGCCATATGTATTTGCAGAGCCGTAACTGGCCATTCCCGTGCCCCGTGCAAGAATTTGCATTTAGGCCCCTTAATTTATTCGGTTTTGGGAAAATAATAAAACAAATACATTACAAAAGATTTTTAATAAGATTTATTTTAATTGAATTTTTCTGGCTTTCATTTCAGCAAATTCATTAATTACACCATCATAATTAATATTTTTAACGATATTGTATTCTATTGAAATAATAGAAATATTGGATAATCGTTCTTGTCCGATAGTTGATCTTAAATAATTTTTTATTAAGTTTAACTTGCTAAAACTTCTCTCGCACGAAGCAATAGAAACGGGAAGAGTTAGAAATATTCGAAGAGCGACATTGATATTTGGGTAAGACTCAATTAAACCAAAATCATGAAGAGCCTGTAGAATATTAAGCGGAGATGCAGTTTCTATATTTTGTATAAGAGTCGTTACTTCAAAATTAAAACTTTCAATTTCACTTGTGAATTCGTACTTTTTTAAATCTTTGCTATATTTAATAGCGAGATCTGCAGCCGATTTTTTTAAATCAGCAAACTCATGCATTGTAAAGACCAGCCACAGCGAAAGCAAAAATCGTCACAGATAGTTTTCATTTTTTCATAACGCCAATCTATTTGACACAATAGAGTGTCAAGAACACTGTAAATTTGTATTTTAAATAATTTTTCGGGTGTCAAGTTACTTCCTTCATCTGGTGTTTTATCTATTTCCATTATCTTAACTCTTTTTTTTCGTTTATTAAGAAATCCCTTTTCTATACTTTTTGGTTTGTTTTAAGAATATGATCAATAATAGCATCTGTTAATATTGTTGGCCATAAAGCTATATCATTTATTACTTCCATGTATCTATATATATCGAAGCGTTTTTTTGGACTATTTCTATCTTCTGCGTTTTCGCAATCCCTTTTTTCAGTAGCATTTTAAAGACTGCGGGAGCCCCTTCGGGGCCCTACGCGCCCGCATAGTTCGCTTACCGCTTAATCCGCCGTTCAGGTATACACCACATATGCGTACCACTATAAAGCAAAAAATGATGTCAGAATTTCTGCACGCCTTTTACAACCTCGAGACTAAGATTTTATTCGGGAGTTACCGTTTTCAATTTAGTAATTTTAAAAAAATCCTCGGGCAGATTTATTTTTGTTACAAAATGTTACCTTTACAGATTTCTAGCTCTGCACACTGTAGAAAAATCTAGAAATACAGTTTTGTATATCGTAATAATATTAGTAGTTGCCAGAGAGCTCTATAAAGTAGAGAAAAATCTGTAAATTTGAAAACTATAAACATAAATTTAAATTTCTCAAAAAATAAATTAAAAAATCTCAAAAGTCGCTACTTTTGGCTGATTTGTCTGAGGTCTCCGCTACCTCGCTACGTCCCTCTAAAAGTCGCCATAGTTGGGAACACTGGTGACCAGACATCTAGGGTCTAAGTAAGGCGAAATGTAATCGCCAAACCGCGCTGTAGAAAGGCGGAAAAATTTTAAATTTAAAAATATAATTTCTTGCGAACGGCAGTTTGGGCCCCCCTTCCAAGTGGGCCCTGTGCGGGTGCACCTGCTGCACCTGCCTAGTTACGGCTCTGTGTATTTGCATCATATCATGAGCCAGATTTACTGAAACTAAATGAATTACAGTTTAGAAAGAGACTAAAGCTTAGAATTTGCATGCTTTTAAATTTATTTATTTATTTGGTGGAAAGAAAGGGCTTTTTTATATAACTTACTTTTTAGAATCAAAACAAACCTAAATCTGGTACCAGTGCCAGCTCGAGGCAAGTTTTAGGATGGAGCGAGATCCTATTATGGCACCTGGAGGTGGCTCACGCACTTGACCCAAGCACCTCTCAGCAGATAAGGCCATTCACATACTGGCCACATGCTTACAATTAAAATATCAAAAAGTGAAAAAAATATTTTTTTTGTTAATTTTCTTTACCACTGAGGCGCCCCCTAGGACTTAGCGCCTGGAGCGGCTGCTCTGTTCGCCCTATGGTAGGGCCGGCTCTGTCTGGTACTGGCCCATGAAAATTTCTAAAAATAAGTCTTGCTATCTTGTTTAACAGAGAATGGAGATGGACCATTAATGTTCACTACAAAAAATTTGTATTTTGCAAACAAAGAGTTTACTTAATATTACAAAATCATCAGTAAATGTTAATTCAGCAGTAATTTGTATAATAAAATACAGATATAATAAAATATTACCAATCTGTATAATAAAATATTATCAATATTACCAATTCTCCATATTTCTGTTGATTTAAAAATGTAGAGCAAATCATCACATATGAATATGATAAAATAATGTCTTACTTTATATTGTTAAATGCCTTCTATTTGATAATTATAGGACCATTATCAAGAGAAAGAAGGAAAGAATATGGTTCTATTCAGAATTAAACTCAGAGTTGTCTGATGGACAAGATATGCTTCCATCCAGTGACACAGATGTGACTAGATGATTTAGGATGTAAGTGTTTGACATCTACATTTGACTAAAACTTTGTTTTGAATATGTATTTCACAGTTATTATTTTTATACAATTTTCAGTGGGGAAACAGTTTCCCCATTTAAGGTTGTATAAAAATATGTGATATACTTGGAAAATTACAGAATCTAAATATAATGCTGATCATGAAAATGCAAATAAATTATAAATGCTATGTTTTGGAAGAAATATTAATATTTTTTGAAAATATGCACAACTTGTAGAACATATTTAGAATGAATTATGGACAAATTTATCTATAAGTAGAATATTTTTATAGAATTTTGACATCATCAAAATATTAATTCAAAACAATTATATAGAATCATGATGTGGATTGTGAGAGAGATCATTTACACTCGTTGGAACCAGGATCAAGCAGAAGTTGAAGGGTAGACCTCATCCTTTTGAATATACACAGGAAGTCCAGTAACTGCCATATGATGCAAATTCACAGAAGTAACTGCCTTTATGCAGTTGAATTCTGAATGTTGCCAGCATGACAAAAATCAAGAAATCACACACTGGATTTGATCCTAGGCTTTTGGAGCAGCAATCTGAAGTAACCATTGCAGCCATTTTTTTTTTTAAACTCGCCGCCTTGTGGACACTAAGAAGGCCTCTTTTTGTAAGCCCATTATGGATTCGGCTAGGCCCACAATGGGGGACCAGGTGGTGAGGGACAGGGCCCAACATATCTGAACGGACCACCCGCCGAAAAATTCCTGGAGACTATTCGATCCTGGGTCCCTCATAGCGGTAGGCTGCCACCTTGAATTCTCGGTGATCTGGCCGTCCACTGCAGCTATTCATTAAATATATGAGGGGACGTACAGGAACGTATTAAGCATTACATTAGATATTAGAATAATTTCTGAAATTTTGCAGGGAGGTTTGTTCATTAGGGTGATTGATATTATTAAATTTTGGTGATTAAAGGTCGAGGGATGGGAAAATAAAGGGGGATCGTGTGTATCTCCAGTAGGGTTCGACTTAATGACCATTTTACTTGTTATTAGCATTTACAATTTTTTTTTATTTATAAAACTCATTCCTACCCTCAAAATTATCTTTTTATATTTTTAACTATTATAAAATGGAGAAAAGTTTTTAAATAAAATATGATAACAGATGGCACCACGAAATGTTGCCGGAAAGTTAAGCAACTCGTTGCTAGATTTTTTTATTATTTTCTAATATAAATCCATTTCGAATCACACCATCTTAGTGATTCCTCTTCAGTATTACATCTAAAAAATAATACAATACTTTTAAAAATAAAAATAAATACAATTCAGGTTATACAGTAAAAACATGATTGCTCACAATTACTCGTGTAACGGACACATTGTGGAGTGGTGTTGGAATAAATTCACATTTACCTATTAGTGGCATATGTCTGATGACTACAGAAAATAAATAATTGATACTATTTTTTTATTTGAGGCTAAGGTGCCATGAAAATGGAAAAACGTTAAAAGCTTTATAAAAAAAATAAAAGTTTCTCCTGTAAAATCTCAAACGGATTTAAGGAGATAGCTTGTGTCATTGCATTAATTCCTAGGACCGAAAAAAGAACACTAAAACAGAAATTGAATTCGTCCATTAACAACTGTCTAAAACGTTCATAGTGCGAGCTAGGCCTTATTATTATTTGAAAGATAAATCTAACTTTTTGCTTGAATCCTACGATTTTTTTGGCTAAATATGACAGTGTTTTGATGAAACAATTGGCAAAATAAATTTCGTTCATATCTCTATGCAATAGCGAAATGATAAATTGTAGTTAGTTAAAAACATTTTTTCTTCATTCATCCAACCTACATTTGAAACGTCGCAGATTACCGGCTAAAATGAAATCCTAAATTCTTTCGATTATTAAAATGGGATAGATAAAGCCCGAGTTTTAACATTTGTTCTTCCTTCATTCATACGATTTTGGATATGTCAGCTTTTTCCGTTTATGATTTGGATAAAGCGTACTTTATTATGGATAAAGTTCA